CCCCCCAGTATGTCTATATTGATTTATATGCAGTGTTTAAGGGATGCAAAGAATGCCTCCCTTTCTAGGAGCAAAATGAATGGGAAGTGAATTGACTTCTAACATGGCAAAAATAAATGACAGGAAATCTTGCAGACTGCTTGAAAAGAGACCATATATGTGGGGTGGGTTGCTGCATATCAAAATCTGGATGACCCAGTCTACTCCTCAATAATCAAATTGACTCTCTTACTTGTCTTGCAGTGGAAATTACCCCAGACAAGGATAGTAAGGATAGTCTCCCCCTGTCAACAGAGCCAGGAGATAAGTGGGAGACACTACTGGAATGTTTCCATAGGAAGCAAGGCACTCTGGAACAAAAGATTTGTTTGGGGAAGCCCACAGCAGGGGCTGGCCAACAAGCCAAGAGCTCTGTAACTACAACCATTTCTGAGTGCAGTCAGTGCCACTTGCACCATCCCTTGCATGATCCACCCCTTAACCTGAAGAACAAGAGAGAGTTTTGGGGAAATATGGTAAATTCATTATACTAGTCCTTTTAACAAATCTGGAGGCAAAAAAGGTATTTTAGTAGGAGTGGAGTTGTATCTGGACTAATCCAAAAGGCCTTAGTCGAGCCACAGGCAATCCAACACTTCTGAGACTAAATAGTGGGCTAGATGCCAGAATTAAGACAGTTATAAGGCATATGAGTGTCTTTTTTCAGCTGACAAGAATTTATCAGGAACATCACTGATGCTTCTGGGTTATGACATGCCCTCAACATAATTTTCAGTAGTTTAAGCTTTACACTATTTGCTCTATCTCAGACAGCAGTGAGATGATGTGAAAGCCCATGCCAGCATATGCTGGTGACCAGTGATACAATTGAGGGGGAATTGCTATTGCTAAACACATTGAAAGAGAAGAGTGACTCCCTTCTTTGTCTCTTGTCAAGTGGGAAGGCTAAAACTGTATAGATTTAACAGACCAGCCATCTCACCCAGTGTCTTGGAGAAGTCCTCTCTCCACTTACTCCACTCGCTTAAAAAAATAATTCCTGTTGGAGTCATCATTACCAGCAATACAAAGTCAATCCTGGACCCTTTTACAGGATAGCATCACTTCTTCAAGGGTGACAGTGATGGAGATTAGAACAAAGGCTAGGAACCAGCCTTTGCAAATGTTTCTGGAGAAAAGCAGGTGGAGTCTAAAGGCTGAGCCACTGTAAAGGGAGATGCACACCCAGGGCAGATGCCTTAGAACTGAGCTACAAGCATGTATAAGGTTTCCACACCAAAGCTTCCTGTTCCACTCTCTTCTCCAAAATACCTTCTCTGCAGACACAGGGAGTGCATGATGCAAAACTAGTGCATTCAGCTTCTTTACCAGAGGCAGTGCCCTGTATGGCAGAAGTGTCAGCTCCCTTAGCAGCAGACTTCCATCTGCATTACAGCAATGAAGGGTGATGCACCTGCAATGGACACTTAAGGGACTGAAAGGACCTGAAATTCTGGGAGAAAGGAAAACTCAGATAAAGCTGTTCCTCCAATTCCAACTCAGGCTGCTGACACAGTAAGAGAGGCCATGGGAGAAAAAAAAAGACTCATTCCCATTTCCTAGCTGTATTGATTGGTGTGTTTTATCACAGACTTTCAGTTCCTCCTGAGACTCCTATGCTGTCACACAGTCACCTTGTTTGGGAACACATGCAGGATGCTTGAAAACTCACATTATTTATCCAGAGGAGCAGATTACTGCAGCTACAGATAGCATGAAGATGTGCAAGAACAGTGGCAGAGTACTAAATACTGCAGCAGTTACTGAGGGTTTTCAGTGCACAAAGGGACTGAAGAGATGTTACATGCAAGTAGAGCAAGAGGAAAAAAGCTGAAAAGTTTCAAAAAAATACATTAAGGAAAATTTTCCAGGGATCAGTTTTGGTGTCAAAAAGACAACAGCAATAGATTAATTTTCAACAATGTCATTTGGATCAATACAGTGTAAAGGGACAAGTGCTTCTTTTTAACATGTGACAATGTTCTAGAAGATGCATTTTAATAAATTTAATAAGAATGTCTAGGAAACTTAAGAAAAACACCCTCCAAGGATCTTCAAAGAGTTAAAATGTAGGCGGGTGTTCTAAAGAGCATTAACATTTATGTGAAATGAAAGTTCAAACAAGACCCTTCAATCTTATGTATGATTCAAGCCAATAGAGAAATAAAACCCTGCTATGTTAATGGAGCCATTTCACTGGGATTGCAGCAAGCCTCATTATAGTCCTACTTTAATTTAAAGTTGGATTTGCAAACTCAAATTAGTATTTTTTATTTGAGGAAGATTTTTTAAGCTGTATTGAAATTCAGCAGACAAAGATGAATGCTGCTTTCCTGCCCATCTCCCAGTTTCTCAATTTTCATGTGCTTCAGGTAATCTCACAGACAGCTATTCACTGATCAGCATCACTCTGCAGATACCTGCAGGTTTATTTCTGCCTGTTCCTCTGCCAGATCACTGACCTCTGTTTTGTGCTGCTAGCATACAGTTCATAATACAGTATATAATTCATTATATACAGTATATAATTCACCTTACTCCAGCTTGGGTCTGGAGAATAAAAGCCTTCTGTCTCTGAAGGAATTAACCTTTCATATGTCAGCCTGTTAGAGCACCTCAGCTGATGTTATAGCACAAACAGGAAAATTACATTTCTTCTAATAAATGCACAGGGTACGGGATCAGCCACAGTGATGGTAGTGATTTACCTGGGGCTGCTGGTTCCTGACCCTTTCTGGTGCCAGGAAAACCCCTCTCAGAGGGCTTCATTACCATCTTGATGCAGATGAATACTGCCTGGCCCTCAAAGTCACAGAAAAGGAAGATGCAAGTACCAGTACCCACCCAGATTTCAGTTGAAGTGGCCAGAAAGGTATGGGGAGGCCAGTGGAAGATGGCTAAATGGCCCCATTGACCATGGAGAAATCACAGTGGCAGGTAATTTAAAACCTTTTCAGACATCTTTATGTGATGCCGAGATGCCTTTCCAAAAACTCACTCTCATGTCTGCATTACATGATCAATATTTTTAGAATACTGTGACATGATCAATGGCTTGATATACTTCAACGAGGTTCCAATTAAAGCTGTGAACCTGATACCAGCTGCTACAAGACACATTGAATAATCTGGACTCAAACAATGAAATATGAAACTTTGTATCACCCATCCAAAACAATAAATGAAAGTCATGTCTCCAGGACTCAGAAGTCTCCTGGGAATTACTGCTTTGGAGCAGGTGCTAGAAGCCTTGGCAAAGAAGTGGCTAAATCCTTTGAGTGACACTGTGGCCTAACTTGGAATATAACTTATGTGATCTGAATAAAAAAATCCCCTTTTCATCATACAAGAAATCTGCATTACTTCTTTTGTGTCATTGCATTTCAGATACTAAGTCCTGTTTTAATGTTGTCAGAGAATGCTGACAGAGGTCACTTAAGAGAAAACGAAGAAAGAATCACATTTAACACACCTTAAAACCCCTTAATTTTAGTGAAGATTTTTTTTTTGTGACTAGGGAAAGTTTTGAAATATCTTGGTCAGTCTAATAAAATATATATGGTGAATAGAAATTCAATAACAGAAAATAAAGAAAAAGGACGAATAAATCCAGAAAGTGAAGGGAGACAAATTCAGAGAGGAAATACTTTTAGAAATGCATTTTTAGACATCAGAACACATACTAAGGCTTGTCTATTAGTGGAACAACTAACTTCATCAAGGAGCAAGTATAAGATAAGCAAGATAATGAAAACACAGAGGAGATACCATTTCTGGCAGAAAATTTGTGAAATTCTTTGCTGAGACAAAGCTGATGACCATAATTCAATGTCCTGAATGTTTTCACATTTGGGTGACTTTTTAATATTATGCATATACTTCCTGCAGCAATTCTGCTGAACTAGCCCAACCATTGACTGCAACATGGATAAACTATAGATGAGAAAAAACTGAAATGATAAAACTCACATTTTGGCAGATATTGTGTTTTTCTCTCAGCAGCTTCTGAAAGTTAATTCAAAACAATGCCATAATATTTATATTTTTTTTTTGCTTACAATGAGCTCAAGAACACAAATTGAAATTATTAGACAATTCAGGGGAAAAAAAATTGGAGCTGTCAAAGTGTGCTGCAAAACAGAAAGGTCTAAACATCAACAGAAATGGCTTCAACAGAAATTTCTGTTGGAAAGTATGCCAAAGTCTGCAACTTACTTGTTGCAAAAAGGCACTAAGGAGAAATGGAGAAATAAGTTATTTTCCTGTTTTCTGAATATATTTTTTCCAGTAGTTTTTGTGATTTGATTCCCAGGTGGGAATGCTGCCCTGTGTCCTACTCCAGGCCTCTCCAGCTTCTCTTCACAAGAAATAAACATGAAGAAAAAAATATAAGCAGTTCCAGTGTCTCCCAGCAATAAAAAAAAATGTTTGGAAGGTTTGAGACAACAGCAGGAATCAGAATCAATACACTTTAGAATAATTCCATGCTGTTCTCTTGAAAAGAAAACTCTGTTATCCCAAAAGGTGTTCTTTCACCTGGCATGCCAAAGGCGATCCAATCAACACAAAGTAGAGGTATTTGATTTATTTGCAGTTCTGTGCAGAAAAGGGTGGTAGGCGGTAAATCCACAAAGCCAGCATACTGACTATCAAAACTTCGCAGACACTAATGCTGATTGGCTCCCAACTACATAGTTTTCCTATCAATTAATATTAAATCTTCTTTTAGTTGAATGATTCTCTTGTTTCATATGCTAATTAGCCCACATTCTCAATCTTCTTACAAGCTGATGCCCACTTTTCTTCAGCTGCTGCCTTTCCTTCTTCAGACAGATCCTTTCTTGATCCTTGGGCTTGATCTACTACTGGAATTACCTAGTTTAATAAGTTTGCCTTGTTTTGTGCCTCTTTATATTGGTCATTTCACCAAGTGTCACTGGTTCAGCACTCTGGTATGTCTGGTTGCAGTTACATTCTTAACTTCTTTCTTCTAATCTATTCTTCAATAGCTGCTACAATTAGTGAGAAATGCTAAATATAACTTATCTATTGCGGAGCCATACACAAACATTAGAGTATGTCAAGTATACTGAAGTCAAGTATCACAGCCAACTGAGGGCTGCAATTTCTTTCTTCATTTCCTAATAAGAAAAAAACAAAAAAAGAAAATTAGGAGTCAGTGTGAATACAAGCCTGAGAACCCTGATAAATTCTTAATCAAAAGAATCAAGAATCGTCACACATTACATAAAAGTGTTAGTAATATTTAGCCAACACGTGTGCTGCCACCATCATGTCTTTCCAGCCCCACTAGCTTCAAACACGTCCTTAGGCACCCAAAACAGAGAGTAGGCCAGAGAAACTGCAGAGAGCTATCTCAGGGAGCAATGGGTCTCTGTCAAGATGCTTTCAGCAATAAAAAAGAAGACAGCTCCTGAAGAGCCACTACTGAAAGCTGGAACTAAAGCTAAAAGGAGACATAGAAAATGAACAAAAGTTCAAATCCTGTCACAAGAGCCCACAAGCCCTGATATAACACAAACAAATCCCTCCTCATGCTAAAACACATTATTTTGCTAGATGAGAGAAGGGTACATTTTTCAGGAATGGCCTCCTTGGCTAAAGTGATGAGGCTTCCTCTTTTTTTTTTTAAGGCAGACTTAGAAGCATTAAGAATTTTATGTAATTTCATGCATAAACATCTGAAAGACAAATGGATTCAAAGATCTTGAAGCTGAAAGACTGCATATCCAATCTATCTAAAACAACTCAATACTGAGAATGCCTGCCTGGGACTATGGGTGCCTGTGGAAGATTTCTGCTGAGTTCTAGCAACTCAGAAATCCTCTCTCAGAGGAAGAGATTAGAGAGTTGGACTCATTAGCATCAAGCCATTACAGACAGAAAGCTCCCCACATGTCATTTTAAAGATGCTTGAGCCACGCCAAGTTATAAAGAAAGTCTAGTGAGCCTACAGAAAAGCTAGAAATTCTTGTAATGTTTCATGTTTAATTTATTTTCAGGAGTGGAATGAGTGCTATCCGAGTGTTACCATGTGTGCCTGCCTGCAAGTGGAGAAAGAGGAAGTGGCAGACTGAGAAAAGCACTCCCCTTTCACAGCCCCCCACGCTGGAAAAGTTCTGGAGAAGGACTAGTGGCAGATAGATTAACTGGTTTGAGAGGCCTCTGTAGGTGCCATTTTCTGCTGAAATTGCCAACAATTATGCCAAATTCAACAATGGGTTTGCAATATGAGTAGATGTCTTCTAGCCTGAAATTCAAGTTTTGTAATTGCAAGCAACTAAGCAGTAAAGAGTGATAAATAATTGTGAGCACATACATATGCATAACATACACACACACATAATATCACATGGCAGAAAGTGCTATAAGACAAAAAATTTACCTCCACTAATTCGGTTTTGTCCGGATTTTCCCGCTGTTGGTAAATGCACATGCTGAGAACGGAATATAGTTTGGCCATGCTCGATATACTGACGTTCTCAGTTGCTGTGACGACAGCATCCAACACTTTCTGAAGAAAAAATGGTGGAAACTACGATTCAGACTAGGACATGGTATGTCCCACTTTTGTATATTGTTAAATAAAAGTGACACTTCAGAGAGCTGATTAAATATCTCACAAGATTTAACTGGAGAAAACAAGTTAATTTCTCACAGTTCTGACAAAAGTGAGGTTTAAAGTTCAGACAATATTTTCTTACTCATCAATCTATGACATCAACAATCATAACTGCCAACCAGCTGCCTCCAGAACAGCGGGGAATAACACAATCCATTTCATTATAGAATAGCTGCCACCGAAAAGCCACGGTTGCATTTCATTAGAAATGCAATACAGAGCCCTGGAAAATATGTCTTTCTAAGCCAGACTACAGGTCTTCCAGATACAGCTGTGCCAGCTGGAAATAGAAGCTCCTTAGGTGCTCACCTCTAGCCATTAGCTGGATGTGTACTGTGCCAAACACCAGTTAGCTCCTACCTTTCAGCTCAGGAGTGGAAGAACAAGCAGAATGACTGCCTGTAGCAAATTACCAGTCTGTCACACAGTCCCTTCTGCTGTGGAGATGTGAATGTGATAATCTGTGGAAATGCAACACTAACGAGCTAGGCGCACCACTGCTGTTCAGTAACTGTGTTGTGTGAGGTTGTGAAAATGAAAATATTACTGCCTCACAGCTGCTTGCCATTAATTCAGCCCTGCTCAGAGCAGTTAGCACAAGATTGGAGTATTGCCCTGAACTCCTTCTATCCAGGAGTAATATAAAAAGTATATATATATATATTTATAGTATAAAGTGCAGGTAAGAGGCACAAAGCCCACACACCGTGCTTTCAGCTGCTGCAAACACAACACATGGCGTGTGATAGAGGTTCATGGTGAACATCCCCAGTGAAACTGCTTCTAATTGCTGCCACATAGGTGACTGCATGCTTTTCTATTCTTTCGTCAAGTTCTATGCCTATTACCATGCAAATAAACAAACAGAAACTTCCACCAATCAAACCAACTTAACAAACCCAAACAAATAATAAAAAAGTCTATCCCATATGAAACCAGGCAGATATATTTTGGAGGTTCATCCAGCTAATTGACTTCAGGAAAGTTCCAAAGAAGTTCTCTGGTACAAGCGTCAAGTTACAGTGACACTCGTGTTAAGGAAACAAGTTTTCTAAAAGTTTTTCTAAAACTTTTTTAGATTTACAAGTTTCATGATTGTAGCTTTCTCCTCACAGCTGAAATATATATATAAGCTGAAATATCTATAAGGAGTCTACCATGCAATTTCTCCAGCTGGAAATAACTTTGGAGCACATGCTATTAGCACTCTGACTAGAAAAACCTAAGTGGTTTCTTTCCATATTCAGGCAGATGTGAACAACAAAACCCCCTAAAATTTGCTTCCTTAGGACACCAGCCTTAGAAAGCTAGTTTCACTTCTACATGTCACAGCTTAAAATTATGATAGAAATGGTGTGGACAAGCCCTTTCATCAGAGGGGATTCTACTCTGGTCATATTCTCCCCATACAGAGGAAACATGCAAATAATACTCCCTTTCTCAGACAGATAAACAGCAGCCTCTTCTGCTTTGACCAAACTCCAGGACTGCTTTGACCAAACTCCAGGACTTCAACTAGCAATTTCCTGAATTTTTGTCCAAGCAATATTCCTTGAAAGCCAGGTCCTTCTTTTATACCCTCTCCAGTTCAAGCAAAGGAACCTCTTTTACCCCCTGCAGCTAGGGGTACCCACTTTTGTCCCTTTCCCCAGCAATAGCCTAGGATAACAACAACTCTCCTACAGGGGAGTAGGGGACCTCATACCACTGTAACTGTGTGAATGTCAAATTCTAACAGTGAATTTTGAAAGAATTTTAGAAAAGCAGGGATCAGTATTTTATGTGCTTTAAGTTAACCTGCTAATATTTCAGGTTTAAAGCCATAACTGCTAAAAATCAAAGTCCTTTTCTGGTTCCTAATAAACGAAAACATTGAAACAGAAAAACAAAACAATCCTGCCCAAATCCATCATAAAAAATGCATTAATTACAGGCTGAATTATTTCACAAGCTATATAAATTGTTTGAATTGGCATTGGTTAACAATTGACTTAATTTACAATCATAAAGAAAATGTTCTACTTTAGTATTAACAAAATTTAAGTTAGACTTACTCTGAGCTCAGAGTAATCCACAAACACTCCTCTTTTTTTAATTTTGATTGCTTTCTTGTCCCATACTTTTGGTTGCCCATTCTCCTGAGAACATCTTCCAGGACAGTCTATCTGCGAATCTGGAATGACACAAATTTAAGTCAGGATTTCTCTTAATGTGGAACAGAGTATCCATGAAGTATCCTATACCTAAAATAAGGTACCTCTCTGCAATAACAGAGAAAAATTTTATTCAATTCATGATACTCAAATGCAACTTCATGAAAAATGATTGACAGAGAATTATCACCGAAGCAAATACTGTATTACTTCTTAACTTACACTAACAAAGTTTTAGATGTGGAATATCCTTACTTGCATTGTTTTTTGATGCAGGAGGTTCAGCAGCTTGATTCATAATCAAGTTCTCATAAAACCCTTTTCTTTCAGCACAGGTAGGCCGAGGGATTTTGAAAACTTCTTCACGATTAGTATTAAACAATGTTTTTATCTAGACCATGAGAAGAAAAGAAACTTCAGGTATAAGGCCACATTTTATTCTTTTTTTTTTATTTTCTATTCCAAACAAGTGCATTTTCAAATTATGCTGAATATTCATCTAGATAAAACAAGCTATTAGAAGTTAACTTATTGGCCATAAAAGGCTAGATTTTCATAGCACTGCAGATTAAAATACCTTCTCCAATCTACCTTCTAGAGTTTAAGATCCATGAAAAAAAGTATGATAGGAGAATCAGAAAGGGGCAACATTCACCACCCCAATACTGCTTATTGTACATTTACCCAGCTTAATGTCCTTTAGTTAGATTATTTATGACAACAATAGAGGGAAGAGGCAGGGCTCAGCAGACAAGTGCCAACTTTTTGGTAATGTGGGCTGGTTTTGTTTATTTTTTTTTTTTATTTTAGAAGTCACTTGCTAATTTTATAAAAACTTCTGTTACTTAGACAAAATAATCAGAGAAGCATATGAATATTTTAACACCTTCCTTTAATGAACACTCTCAGACTCTAGAAAACACAGCATGTGGTCTTAATTAATTTTGTTAAGAAATACGACTAAAAATTGATTTCCAAGTTGCTTCAAAAGAAGTCAGTCCTTAGCTTTTTAATTTGTCAAGTTTCCACCTAGATGAAGAAAGAAATTGACTTTTTTTTGTGAAATAATTTAAAATAAAAATTACATTCAATCACTAACAGTGTGACCACAGTACTTTTTCAGTAAAAATATTTTCAGAAAATCTTTTCCAAGCTATTTTTCAAGCACTCTGTATCCTTCACTAAGTATACACCAAGCCATGCTGAAGCTACTGAACTGGTTGTCTGAAGTGTATCTATATATCTGTCTAGTAAGCCCAACTGTGTGAGAAGGGAGAAAAAGTTGGGTCAAAGTCAATCTCTTTACTCAGAAAACACTTCAGACAAATGCTTTCAGCATTGTTCTGTCTAAGCAAATTTTAAGAGACAGGGTTCTGGTGCCTGAGTAATATTAGCATAAACTGCTTAAGAGCAGCACAGTACTCTGATGTTTCAAGGAGTTGTAAATTAACAAGAAACTGAGTAACAAAGAAAAGTATTGCCAGAAATACCTCTTCAGGGAGATCTTCATGTGGCACATCAGAGGTTGCAAGGAGCAAAACTGGAGCAAAGTATGGAATGTTATTCAGCAGTCCTAGAAAAGCAATTTTCAGTGTAGGTCCAAGAGCCTCCCACCACGATGGGATTTGTGGGATATAAATGATACTTGGTGCTGTTCTTTGAGCTTCTCGTATCAACTGGTAAAATGAAAGCTTGGGTAAGAAAACTACATCATGTAGAACAGGTCACTAAGTATATATCAGTCAGACAATCTTGTGAAATTAGAGCACAAAAAGCCAAGACATCGAGATAAGCCAGTAAATGAGCCACACCTTAATAATAAGGTAACATTTTCACTTTGAGACAGATGTAGACATTGCTATGCAAACAGAAACAGAACCGAATCTGATTTCAAAACTACTTAGGGGTAACATAACTCCTAAAGAGCCTCAAAACTCAGATGATGTGATGATGTGCCTGAAAAATCAAGACTAACCCCTCAGCAAGATGTGTTAGCCTGGAGAGATCGCTGCACAACTGTGACTGCACTATTTCCAGTTCAGCGTGGGCCCGTACCCATGTTAGACTGGAGCACAATCTGAACAAATACCTATGTGGGAAGATGAGGGCTTACACAGTAAAAGAAGCCCTGGTCACAAATCATAATTTCAAAAACATTTCACAAGAGGTGACCAGTCCTTAGCTTGCCTGAAGAGCTGAATCGCTCAGAGCCTCTCATCCCTCTCATTATCAAAGTGTCCATCAGAGCAGATGATGTGCTTTGGAAGACCACAAACCACTGCCTACAGATGGCATTTCAATCACAGAAGAGGACACGAATCTACTGCATGAGGGAAGTGGCAACAGTCCTTTCATATGGCAAATTTCTCTATGCAGCATTTCAGAGTACAATATGCAGGGAATTCCTGTCACAAGACAGGAAACCTGTGGTACATTCATGCAGTAGACAGGGTATTTATACAGCCACAGGTGCAACTGTGACATAACAAAATGAGAATTGTTCCTCCTGCTTGGCAAATGAGTATCCAGTCACATGATGTGTCTTTTACAGCTCTAAAATGTTGATAATAAAAATCAAAATATTTTAATACAATGACCAAGTAATGAAATTTATTTCCTGCCTAAAGGTAGAAATTCAAAACAGCAGTAATCTGCTTATATTTGCTTTTCTAGTTAAGGAACACACATCAGTTTACACAATTAAGCATTCCATGAATTGCAACACTTCCATTGCATTTCACTGCAGCAGAACAGACTGTATATGTGTATTCAAGAAAACTTATTTTCACAAAAACTTTGTCTGCTCTACAAATACATTAAAAAAGAAAATTCAAAAAGTGCATGACACCATCAGGCTGATGAAAAGCCAGCTACTGGGAGCACAGAGATTTAAGAAGCAACAAAAACAACTTTCTGGAGCCCATCAAGACCAGCAGGATTACTCGCCACAAAGAGGTGGTGCTTATTAGCAGCACTTCCCATCTTCCCAACCTCTTTCTTTCATTTCAAATAGAAATGAAACACAGCTATGTACAAATGTCCTTATTCAGTATCATTCCACCTACAAGAAAAATTAATTTTCAGACAAAACACATAACAGCAAATTCAAACCAGGCCAACTCCATTTACAATGAGTTTTGCTTATTTCACTGGTTTACATACAGTTCAAGAATCCTACAAGATCAACCAAAAAAAAAAAAAAAAAGATACCTGTGAACATGTTTCTTCCTGTGATGTGGTGCTAACAAACAAGGTTGGTAGATCTAGTGTATAAGCTGGAAACTTTTCCAGGGCATGTAATACAGCAGGTGCCAAGTCAAAAGCCTGCCCACATCCTGATTCTTCAACTAATAAAAACCGTGGCCTGAAAGATGTTGGCTGGTAAGAAGGATTTCTACAACAATAAGAAGAATACCAGTTTTAAAAAGAGTGATGAAGAGACACACAGATGTTAAATATTTTTCCCATACCTTTTTTTTTTTTGTAAATATGCTCCATGTTCTATCAAATAACAAGCTGCTTGGTGGTTCTGTGATCAAGAAGATCTATTTATCAGTCTGTTTTCTCAGAAACTGGTATCACTACTCTGCTAAAAAATCCTGCCAGTCCCCAGCATGTCTGCTATTCCTTTTGTTGGGTTAAGTAACAGCTCTCAGGTCCCACAGGGGGAATGTTGAGGCAAATACACACAAAACCGCTGGTCAGTAACCTGATACAGAGCAAAATAACAACTTTCATAGCACAAACCAGTCTGGGTCTCTTCAATCTCCATACACAACCATTTTCAGCTTGTCTTGGCTTTAAGTGAGATCTCTACACCTGTCAAACTCAGCTAAAATTTGGCCACAGTTCCTGGAGACGGTGGGAAGGGGCAAAACTACATTTCTAGGGAAAAAAAAGCAGTGTGGGTACTGAAACACATTAGTAGTATCTGAAGAAGAACATGACTGGATTGCTTAAATTACAGCACTATACTAAATATGTATAAGATTTGTATTTATTTTATTCAGTCATTCTGGGGGTTTCATCTTCGACTTGTGTATTTATTTCCTAGTCAGCTTGCTTGACACAAATGAAATACATTTGTGAAGAGGTTTGTGCATTTTTCCATCACATTACTATTGTACCTTTACTTGCTGAAGTCAAAGATCCTGAAGACCTAACCAAGCTCAGCAAGTCATATTTTCTAGACAGCACAGCCATAGAAAGGGAGAAGAATATTTGACAATAATCTATTTTTAAAACTATTGGACTACATGATTTCCACAATAAAAATGTCAAAAGATAACAAAAAAAACAGTAGGGTAAATGTAAAAAATGCAAACATCATTTAAATTTTCCTCACAGAGATTTAACAGGCCACTTCTTGATTTTGTTTCTGATACATAATTTCCTACTTGTTCAACTGTCTTGGAAGGTAGAAGGATAAAAGACAGCTACATAAATCCATGTAAAAACTCCAGAGGGTTTTTAAGTTAAAAGGACAGAATGAGCATTTTTTTGGGTCTTGAGTCTTTGAAGGAATACTATGGATTAAACCAACATATTTTAATAATCTCTGAACCAGTTTGACTTAGTAAAAGAAGGCTGGGCTGATCAGTTTGACAAGCTAGGGCAGTGCAGTCAGAACAGTTAGATCTAGTACCCATTTGGATCTTCACAGTTGATTTTGTGCAGGTATTGATCACCCCCACATGTACACATCTAGCAGCTCTCACATATTTACATAACATTTTACAGATGCAGCCATCTCAAAAACATCACCATAAGGAGGACAAACATGTACCTGCTAAAAGTGCGGAATCCTGCCCTTTTGCTGTGAGGCTTCTTTTCAGAGACTGATGGCAAGTCATCATCACTGTCAATCCCATCATCCCCTAAAATAGGATTTAAAGACAAGACAAATTTGTTATCTTTACTGAATAGTTCATATCTCTCTTTTGCGTTAATACACTTTGAAATCAGCGCTGGAAACCATTTCTCTTGCATTTTGTTATTTGAATGCTATTATCTGAAGAGTACACCCTACCACAGATCTAAGGAGATTGCACAAGTCTACACAAAGCTGTTCTATGTCCTATGATTTGCATCAGGTATTAACTCTCTGTTGAAAAACACTTGGGAGGTTTTTTCCTTAGAATAGAAATGATCAGGAACAACTTCTGTAGCTCCTAGATACCAGAAAAACCCTTCTTCCCTCACTTAAGAATTTATTTACTATATTAGTAATAATTACAGACTACATCAGTGGACAAAGGAGGGGTTACAGACATCATTTATCTGGATTTGCGTAAAGTTTTTGACACGGTCCCCCACAGTATCCTTCTCTTTAATCTGGAGACAGATGGATCTGATGAATGGACTGTTAGATGGATAAGAAAGCAATTAACTGCTCAGAGTTCCAGTAGACATCAGTGACAGGTGATGTCCCCCAGTGGTCCTTAATGGGACTAGCGTTATTTAGTATCTTCATTAATGACATAGATGAAGGAATTGAGTGTAACCTCGGTAAATTTGCTGATGACACCAAGCTGAGCGGTCCAGCTGACACACCTGAAGGATGGGATGACGTCCAGAGGGTGAGCTGGACAAGCTCAAGAATTGGGACAATGGGAATCGCATGAGGTTCAACAGGTCCAAGTGCAAGGTGCTGCATCTGGGTCAGGGCAACCCCCAGTACCAACTCAAGCTGGGGATGGACAGATGAAGAGGAGCCCTGCCAAGAATGACTTATGGTTGCCAGTGGCTGAGAGGCTGAACATGACCCAGCAATGTGCACTCACAGCCAGAAAGCCAAATGTGACCATGGCTCCACCCAAAGCAATGTGGGCAGCTGGCCCAGGGAGGGGATCCTGCCCCTCTGCTCTGCTCTGCTCTGCTCAGACCCCACCTGCAGCGCTGCATCAGCTCTGGGGTCCCAGCACAGAAAGGACATTGACATGTTGGAGCAAGTCCACAGGAGGGTCACCAAGATGATAAGAGGAGTGGAACCTCTCCTATAAGGAAAGGCTGGGAAAATTTGGTTTGTTTAGCCTGGAAAAGATGAGGCTTCAGGGTGACCTACTTAAGGTTTTCCAGTACTTGAAGAAAACCTACAGGAAATATGGGGAGTGACTCCTTACAAGAGCGTGTAGTGGGAGGACAAGGGGAAATGGGTTCAAACTGAGAGAGAGAAAGCTTAGACTGTATATTAGGAAAAAAGTCTTTACTGTGAGAGTGGTGAGGCATGGAAACAGGTTGCCCAGAGAAGTCGGAGATGTCCAGCTCTTGGAAGTGCTCAAAGCCAGGCTGGATGGAGCTCTGAGCAATCTGTCTAGTGGAAGATGTTCTTATCCAAGACAGTGGGTTTGGAACTAGATCACCTTTATGGTCCCTTCCAATGCAAATCATTCCATGAATCTAGAGTTTGGAAAGCTGAGAAGTTTGTATATGTTGGTTGCACAAATCAGAAGTTTCTGCTTTGGCAGGATTTGAAACAATTAGATGCTATTGTAATACCTTGGTTGGTTTTCAGTGCAAGCTTTGCATGGGGAAATGCTCTCTGCAAGGCTAGTAAAATTCTTTCCAGGGTGTTTTCCAATAGTGGCTTTGAAATAGGTGGTAGTGCTCTCCCAGGTGAAACCCCAGATCTCTGTGATGCTGGAACAATCTTCTGCATGGCCATGGCAAAATCCTTTGCTGTTACTTTAATTGATCTGGCATCTATCTTCAGTCTTTTATCACTCTTATGTATCTGTGGATAGCGGCGGCGCAAAGCACAGAGCCCAGCTTCAACACATAAGGCTTTAATATCAGCTCCACAGAATCCTGAAAAACAAAACAAGAACCAAAGGTTACCTCAACACATATATGTGTTATATAGCTTAAAAGCTGTCTGGATGGCCAGGCCAAGACTGTTAGTGAATGATGCTGCATCCAGTTGGCAGAGGGCTCACTAGTGGGGTTCCCCAAAGCTCAGAACTGAGTCCAGTCCTTTTTAACATCTTTATCAATGACGTGGATGAGGAGATTGAGTACACCCCCAGTAAGACTGTGGACAACACTATGTTGTGTGGGAGTGTTGATCTGCTGAGAGCAGGAAGGCTCTGCAGGGGGATCTGGACAGGCTGGATCAATGGGTATGAGGTTCAACAAAGCTCAACAAAAGCTCTGGCTCCTTCACTTCAGTCACAGCCCCATGTAGCTATACAGGCTGGGGGCAGAATGGTTGAAGACTGCCCAGGGGAAAAGGACCCAAATTGTTTTCAAACTCACCAACACATTTCTCAGCCAGGTCTTCAAGTAAGTTGTCTGATGGCTTCAGGGTCCAGTCTCGTGTGTGAATTTTTAAAATTTCTAATCTTGCCTAGAAACGTGGTTACATTTTAGTTGCCTGGAGTTTTTTCTTAAGAAAACAACCACAACACAGAACCCCCAAATCTTTCACCCTAGTTCAGATACTTTTCTTGTCTGCTTAACTTCTAAGTAGTTTAGTAGTCAGTTATTAATACATTCACTGCTTCTTCAAGCAGGAAAATTAATCACTCTTAAATTCTTGCATCAAACTATTGGGAGGGACGCAGTGAAATAAAAGGCAAGTGTTATCTTCCATAAAAAGTAAGTTTTATGAGACCATGACCTAATTATTTTGAAGAACAAATTGTAGTAAAAGCCTCATCTGCAAATGAACATTCTGAATCAAAGAAAATTCTCTCAAATTTAGCAAAATTTACAGTGACGGTTTCAGTAGTTCATCAAATTTGCTTTTCTGCCAGTTCATTCAAAGAAAACAGTCCTAGTCCATTTAAAAATGCTACAGTTGCTACCAAGAATAAAAACTGTGACTCAAACTACTGTCACTCACCCAGAAAATGTCAAACATCACCCATTTTCATCTCTGATCCTAGCAAGAATTTCAGTGAAATATCTCCTGGTACATAGATTAATTATGGCACACTTCTAGAATTCTTCCATATCAGGAAATTGTATATTAGATCTGTTTCATGGCACCTTGTCTCTAGTTTCTGAGAGCAGATAAGTACTGGATACAAGTGTTTGTGATAAATGCACTGTTTCATGCACTTTTCCTAGACTTCAATCCAATAAGCCTTTTATCTTGGCTCCAAAAAGTGCCAAGAAATATCAGTGATAGCCAGAGAAAAAACACAAAAGCAGGGTTACAGTTTTGCACACTATCTCTCTCCCAACTGTCCCCTTCCCAATATTTTTTGGTTGTTATAAAAAAATTTCTTCAATTCTTAGCTGCCATTTCATCAGCTTGCCATTGAAGTGCTGCACCTGTGCAGTGTACTTCATATATTTGCCCAAGAGAGAAGAAACTACTTGTTGACATCATCTTATTCCTAAATATATTCAGTATCAGGTTTGCTCTTCGCAGTACAATGGAATGTCTCCAGATATCCCTCTTGTGTCCAAGCTGTACACTGCAGATGGAGACTTGCACTGGTCTGTGATGCTGCCTTGTTACAGGGGCTTGTTATAGAGATGGGCTTTGCCACATAAGGTTGATTTGAAGTTCTGACCTCTTTGTTTGGCAAGCTGAAGCGGAATTCTCGTTCAAAGCGTCCAGGTCTCCGTAAAGCAGGATCTATAGAATCCAATCTGTTGGTGGCTCCTATTACCACAACCTCTCCTCTGCTGGCTAAGCCATCCATCAGTGTCAGAAGTGTCCCCACAACAGAGCTAACAGAAAAATATAATTTTCATTCACTGGTTTAGCAAATTTTCTTCAGTCCCATATAACCTTCTCCACTGATCCTTCAGAAAGGACAAGTTTTTAGAGACAAGATACTGATCAGCAAAATAATTATTTTAAGAAACAGCAAAATGCAGATAAGGTAACAGACCTTGAACAGATATCAAGCTTAGTGAATTGTTTCCAATTATTGTTTGAAAATAATCTGAAATTCACTAGCACTGAATTACTGGTTTTCAGGTTAAATGAAGGTGTCACACCAAGATAAATAGGTTGTGGTCTTCTCTTCACAAAGATCAAACACCTGCTAAGTAGATATGAAACATGTCCTACCTATGAACCTGGTCTTGTTTGTTGGACCGTACAGGAGCAAGGGCATCGATCTCATCAAAGAAAATAATTGAAGGCCGCATTTGGTAAGCCTACAAAGAAAACACAGGAACACTGACATCAGGAAAACAGTACTACTTGAAAGAGAAAATGTATGAAAGACATTATGGTTGGAAAGACATTTGAACTAGAATTTTCAGACTAGCATCAGCGATCTCTGCTCATTAACCTAATGTGAAACAGCAGCTTGTCAACAGAAAACAGCAGCCTGTCAACAGAAAACAGCAGCCTGTCAACCCACTGACACTGGGTGACAGGAAACAAATCATACCAGTAGTTTTTACTGCTATTTGGCAACCATGAGAACTGACAGGACTCAAAGTTTCTGGAAGCGACCTTCCATTGCTAATTTGAATGAACATGTTTTTACCCTGCATCTGTTTCCCTCTCATCTAAAGCTACTTGAGACCTGCTTCTTGAGACCTTTTTTGTGACTGAGTTGTGTGTGTGTGTGGTAGAGGGTCTTTTGAGAGTGGTGATTTTCTTGTTTGCTTCCCTGTCATTTCAAGACATCTCAAGAGACTCCATTGAAAAATGGAACACTAATAATCCCATTTCAGTGGAAGGAGGTTACAAAACAAGAAAGAGAGTGAGTTCTTCTTGACCACAAAAAGTTAGTTTATTGGTCCAACAGAACACATGGCATGTTCCAACCTTACCTGCTCAAATACTAATCGAAGCTGTCGTTCAGATTCTCCCACCCATTTACTCATGCAGTCAGCTGCACTTCTCATAAAAAAGGTTACCTTCCTGTCACCAATGCTACATTCATTAGCAAGTGCACGAGCAACCAGGGTCTTTCCAGTCCCAGGTGGACCATAGAATAAACAGCCTCTACAATTTAAAAGAAAGAAATTTTAAAAGAATTCACATAAGAAAAAGCATAATGGAAAAGTATCTATTACAACCTCCATCCCTAAAACATACAATTCTGGTCTCCTAAGCCGAGCACTTCATGGATAACACAGTGACAACTGAAGTGTGAGAAAAGTCAAAAGTGTTCCTACACAATTCTGCAAGGCAACAAACAAAATGAATAAAGAGAATAATGCAGATATACAAAATCTTGAGAAAAGATAGTAGCATCCCACATCTGACAAGCCAACAGAGACGGTTACAGTAGAGTGGAGCAAAACAAGAGCAAACTTCCAATGCAGAATCTGAAACTGGGCTAACTTAGGAATCATCAGTTCATTTCTCAGTGGTAAACCACATATTCATTCCTGTTTTCACAAAAGTCAAGATTTGAGCGTAAAGCATTTAATTATCCCTTAAAAAGCTTTAAGTTACTGGATTTGGTCTCCCTTTGCTGGTGATTAAGGAAGAGGAAGTAGTCTAAAAAGGGGATGGTATTCTGCATTTCTGTATTTCCATCAACTATAAGAGACAATGCACTGCTGCTTCAAAAATCATTTCAATGAATAAAGAAGCAAAACACAGATTTTCTTTTCAATGTTTGTAATACTTCTAAATTCAGTGGAAGCAATTAATTTAAAGTCCTATTTCAATATACCATGATCGAGGATATATAAACCTAATGAATTTCTAATAATCTCATCATAACACAGAACTCTCTTAGCTGTGTAAGAAGGGACAGATTCCTATTTTAATCACAAAAAACCCTGCAAAGTTCTAGTTGCAAGTCCCATCAATTGTAAAACTAATACCTGAAAATACTTGGGGTAAAAAAAGGGTTGGTGTAAGACAGAACTGGACTTCCACAGAACAAACTACAGTTAACTTGCAGCAGATATTTCCTTCCTGCTCACAAACTAACCAAGTCCACTTGCATGCAGGACTATAAAGAAAAAAATCTCCAACCCCACCTTTTAAAGGCAAGATACTTTTAAAGAATAGTCTTGCCACACAGTAAATCTCGGAACATACATATATGCTGTATTCTATCATATTTTTTTAAAATTGCTTTTTATTAGTGCTAAAAAGAGCCATGAACACTACTGAAAATTTTGAAGCATGGAAAATGTTGATACATCAGTTAAATATTCTCCTGAAAGCAAATGAGTTAAGAACTTATAGTTTTTAATGGTGTCTCTTACCTTGGAGGTTTAAATTTCAGTATCTCAAAGACATCAGGATAAAGCAACGGCAAAATGACCATCTCTTTTAAAGCTGAAATGTGGTCAGACAGACCACCCACACCATGAAATTGTGCCTAAAGATGAAGTCAATAAAACACATATTAAAGAAAGCCGCAACCTCTATAAGGTTCCATCACAAATTAGATATCGGAACAAAGAAAACGTTAGTGGCAATTTGCAAATTGCTTGAGAGAAAACTGTAAGTCAAGGGAGCTGTAGATGGAAACTTTCATAAATACTGCAAATGTCTCACTGACATGAAGAAACAAAAATACTTACTGAACCATCTATTTGCATTTGCTCCACACCAGCCAGACATGCTCCAGTTTTCACGGTCTCCTTATGAACCTCATTTAAGTTGCCTTTCCGAGTTGCTTCAGTTTTCGTGTGCTCATTTGGAACTCCCTTTGTATTATCTTTCTGAGAGTTGGCCGCAGGAGACCTAATTTGAATTAAGGAGAAAGAAAAAAGTGCTTTCTAATTTATGATGCAGTTAGATGAGTTTTGATTTTCTAATGATAGCAAGTGAATCCTAAAGACCTTACAAATGAGCATAAGCTTCCTAAATAGCTGTTCGTTCCCACTGTTTTACATTTAATGGCCATGAGTAAGTAAAGAACTTTAAACTGAGTTAATTATTTTAACAACTCTTAGCAATTACAAATATGACCATTGCAATTTATAATTTAGAATTTCATTAGGCATTTTTCTTGTTTAAGGATAGTTTCACAAAGAAACATGAACTCTCTTGAGCGATTGAATAAAAAAATCCATTGAAACTTCCATACAGGCTCTCCCTGTAAGTTGACTTCAGTTTTAATAAATTGTACCCTTCGAGATTAAATCTTAATTTGTACACCCTTCAAGTCTAAGATTTTCAGAGGGACATTATGGCTTCCATTCCAGAAAAATGAATTTCAGTTACACAATCTCAGCCACAACCCTCATCATCACCTTATCAGTGACCAAAAATACAGCACTTTTAAATAAAATCTAATGGCTAGTAAAAAGGATGGCCTCCCCTGCAGTGTTTGTTTTCCTTATACACTCAGACTACCACAGTAATAATTTGCAATTATATTAATCTCTAATTACCACCAGTCAAAAAAACTTTGAAAGCATTATTCAGTCATAAGAACAACAGCACTCTTATAAAGGAGAATTATCATAAACCATACACCAACCTTTTAGGTTTTTTGCCCGATTTTCTCTTTTTGACAGGTGAAGTACATTTGGATGTTAGCTTACGTTTCCTTAGATCTGTTGAAAGCAAAGAATTTAAAATTTGGTACAAACAAGTTTGAGAGAAACCAGTCAAGGGCAGAAAATAGGACAGGTATTATCCATCTCTAAGTTCAGGGAAAGTTTCAAGGTGGGGATGTTGGGTGGTTTAATCAGTGCATAATAGAAGTAAAAAGACACACACCTGATTTTTAAGAAAAAATGAAAACCACAAGAGTAAGATTATTAATTATCTTTAATTGCTATTTTGTTAAGGGTATGTAGATGATTTTTAAATGAAAAGCGACAATAAGGATGCCAAATGGAAAGAAAAAAAAATAGAATGCGCACAGGATACATGCATTCAACAAAATTTAATGGCCAAATGAAGTAAAAAATATAAAGAGAAGTTGTTTACATGTATTTTCATTTTAAAAAGACCTACACCAACAACCCCCCCACTACCATGAAAGAAATTAGCTCTCAAGAGAAACTGTATAGTATTTAGTGTTGTAAAACATACTGTATTTGTTCTGGCTGGGATAGAGTTAATTTTCCCCACAGCAGCCCTCAAGGATGTGCTTTCCATTGCTGGCTGGAAAGGTGTTGATAACACACCAGTGCTTTGGCCATCGCTGAGCAGTGCTGGCACAGCATCAGCGCTGTCTCCCCAACATTCCACTCCCCATCAGTAGGCTGGGAAGATCCTGGGAGGGGACACAGCTGACCCAAATTAACTAAAGGGGTTTTCCATACCGTGTGGCATCAGCTTAGAAAAGTTAAGAAAAGTAGGAGGAAGGTGGAGCATTTTTTATTTAAAATGTTTGCATTCTGGAGCAATCACTACACATGCTGAAGCCCTGCTTCCTGTGAAGTGGCCAGACATCACTTGCTGATGGAAAGTAGAAAACAAAACCTTTTTTTAACATTTTTTTGTGCATAACCTTTTACTTTTGCTTTAGTAAACTGCCTTAACCTACAAGTTATCTTCCATCTTATTTTCTCTCCCCAGTTCAGCTGAGAAGCAGGAGTGACAGAGCACTTGGTGAGCACAGGTGTCCAGCCCAGCACACCTACTTTCCAGGGGAGATACATAGCGCTCAATAGCTTTCCTCTGCCGGAGGGAGCGACGTCGACCATTGATTTCTTTTCTTTCATTTCCTTCTGGTGTAGACGCTGCACATTGACACAATGTTAAGTTGTGTAAGTACTGTTGCAAATGTGGTGTATTCAAAACATACATATAGATGACATATTCCCACCTGTCCACAACTTTCTGTCTTGTTAGCATTTTGGAAAAACATGGATTTTTTTTTTTTTGCTCTGAATACTTGTTCTGAGCTCACTGCAGTACAGCCCTAGAGCTTACAGCTTGTAATGGCAATAGCAACACAAATTCTTTAATAGATAAAAAAACAAAAAGTCATTCAGCCCATCTCAATTGTTAAAGACAAGGCTTTTGGCTAGAGTGTAGTCAAGAAAATTTAAAGCAGAAATAGCCTACAATGCTACCTGGATCATCAGGATTTTTATTGTTACTTCTTCCCATATTGAGGCTTTCCTAATTAAGAGAAACAAGAAAGATGAGTCAGAAACGTGCAAAAACCTGTGGGCATATTTGCTACTTATATAGTAACATCATCAAGGCACTCCATATACATAAAAGATTAAATTAGGCACAGCAGAAGAGAATGGAAGCATCTCTCGAGTACCCAGGATTGATAACAAACATCTCTAAGATAGGGTTTAGTACATGTAATAGTTAAACACTTCACCGGATGCAAAAATGATTGCATCAATTAATCCCAGGTAAATAATCCAAGAGTGTAGCAGAACTCAGGACAAAGAAACTCCTAGCAGACAAAAAAAATCATCCTGGCATTTGGGAGATGATAAACAAAGTACTATGGAAAATTCTGGTTTCGTAAAAAAACAAACAAACAAACGAAAGAAAACATAAAAGAATTCAAATCTAAACAAAAAAAAAACAAACAAAAAAACAAACCAAAAAACTATCAAAGCAGGCTATGAAGATGTTCAAAAATCAAAGCACCTGTCATTTCAAATGGACAGCAGACTAACTTAATAAAGGAAAACTAAGAGGGAATATGGCTTCTGAATATCATTTTAACATGAGTTCCTCAAAACAGAAGACTGCTTGAGCTCACAGGTGAGGGTGGCAAAAAAAAGAACACAGATAAAGCAATCATCAGTTTTTAGTAAGATTTGAAGTGAAAACTCAAGCTCTGAAACAGCTGTTCATAAGCAGAGTCCATTCAAACGTCATAAGGAAATTCAGAAAGCATAGTTTACAGCATGTATTGAAGAATTTCACTGCTATTTTTGTTTCTTCTGAAGCAGATATTTCCTCCACCCTTATAGTGTAAATATGACTGTGAGCTATTAAACCATAATTGGAGAGGAAAAATAAACAGTTCTCTAGACTAAACTGTGCTTTGGAAGAAGTTTGCTGAGCTAAATTAAAAAATACAACTAAATAATTCCTCTATGTGAAATACCCTACTAATCTTCTCCCCACCATCCACTGTTTTGCAGGACTACTTCTGAAGGGCTAAAATACAAAATTGATATGTATGAGCAAAGATAGATAGGTACAAAAAAACCTCAGTGGAACCAGCACACATAACCAGTATGCCATTTCAATATAGTGTGCACAAAGAATGTCACTGACCTCTAGAAAAGTTTTCCAACACTACTTAAAAATTAGGTCTAAAAGTTTACTTTCTTACAGAGATATTAAGGCACAAGTAGTTAAGCATTCACAAACATACACCATTTTCAGGTTTATTTTCCCCTCTTGCTAAACACAATAAAAAAATCTAATTTAGCAATAAAAAAAAAATAATTATGAAGATCATATTAAGATAAAAGAAAGAAATTATGGAAGTTTGTCATCACACTTAGGTTGCTCTGCATGATAGCATTAAGCCATTTTTAGTTCACAGCCTTCCTCAGACAACAGACTCACAGAGTGTGTTGGAAGGAAGTGACAAGGACCATCAGCTTCAACTCTTAAGATTTCTTCTTGAAACTGGAATTAAGGTTTTACACTGATTTTCTATGACTATATATGGTAGAAAAAACATCTCATTGCTGTTACACTTTGCAAACCTTTCAGAAAACATGTCAGTGTGGGCTTCACAAAGAGAATTAAGTTACAGACACACACATACACCACTTTGTATCCAACTTTCCACCGTGTCTTAACTTGACCTGGCATTAGAAAATTAACTTTAAGCATGAAAGAAAAGTTAATTAAACATGAAGGTGCTTCTGACGTCAAGAAAATGGACTTAGAGGCAACTTTTAATCTACCGAAAGTCACAACATAAAGTGGCTGTTTTGGAGCACAAGAACCTGCCCACACATAACAGAGGCTCAGGTGTAATGATCTCTCTGCAACAGGCAATCCAAAAATGAGGACACCAGTAGGCAATTTAAACATTAGTTGTGCCCAAATTCTTTCCACATGAAACACCTGCCAAATACACCCTTCTGGACATACTCTGACCTGGAAGTCTTAAACAACCACAAGAACCTGCTGCCAAAAAAAACCTCACATTCAAGAGCTTGGCTGCAAAGTACAAAGACACACATTTTATCTAAGTTAGCACTTTAACATTAATGACAGGACATACCCATGCAGGCAGAGTTAAAGAGAGGGACCCTATGTGCCAACTGTAATGGAATGTTTACAGAAAGGCTGTGAGGTTGCTCAGCAACAGCCCCTCTTCAAAGTTCCAAGCTTGGCCACGCCTAGCTCTGGTGGGACTCTGCTATAGAAAGTCCCACTTGCAGCCTAGAACTTCGCAATTACAGAATCATGGAATGGTTTGGTCAGTGGGAAGCTTTAAAGATCGCTTCATTTCAGACCCTCTGCTATGAGCAGGGACACTTTTCACTAGATCAAGTGGCCCACCCAAGCTGGCCTACAATGGAGCATCCACAATTTCTCTGGGCAGCCTGTTCCAGTGCTTCACCACCCTCACACCAAAGACCCATTGCATATGTAGTGGCACATAGGGAATTCTCAGCCTAAACACATTTATCTCTTACTGCCAGGAAAAATATCTTTTTCTGTTGTCAAAAGAAGGACAAAATCCCTAGCCAATTATTATGCACAAAGCTTGCTAATAGGGCTCATTTAAGTAGCTTTGCAACATGATGAAAAACCCTAGTCACTTTTAAGTTTGCCAAACAAAAGAGATTGATTTGTAGTGGTGTAACTACTTTGTCAAGTCTGCAGCTTTGGTGGACCTCAAAATCACCTTTCCTTCAGCTTTTATCCCAACCTACATTACAGAATGTATAAAGTGAAACTGGTTTAGTAGGATTATTTTCCATAAATACAAATTAACTAGCATTAATTCTGCTACTCACTTTTAATTTGTTATTAATTCAGTTTCATGTTATCTGTTCCATTACTTTTTCCAAGGAATTATGTGACACTGACAAGTCTATAATTTCCTGGCTCATTTCTTTTATTCTGTTTAAATATTGGCGTGTTAACTTTCCTTTGCACTCCTGAAATTTTCCCCGTGTAGCAGGAATTACTGAAAATCAACATTAACAGTCCAACCCCACAACAGTGGCTTTAAACCTGTAGGATACATTTTATCCAAAGCTGCTAATTTAAAAATGTTTCATTTCCTATTCCAAAGCAAAAATAGAAACAGCCTCAAAGTTCCTGAAGGAGATAACAGCTCATATCCCTCCAAATCAAGCCAGTAAGAACTGGGAATGCCGAGGACCCTCCATCACTTGGAGGAGAGGACAATGACAAGAATAACTTTTAACTGTGATATAGAAGGGAAGGTCACAAGTGAATACTCTTCAACCTGTTAGTTGTTAAAGCACAGTTGTTTCTGGTTTGGCATATGTGGAAACTGAGATGTAGGGAGCCCTAGCAATACCCACAGTGCATTGTATCAAACATAAGAGCAGAGAAGTCAGGAGGTTTGAACCGCTCATGGCCTAACAGCTACAGGCAGCTCCTCACACATAACCAGAATTTCCATGTAATTTTCTATGTAACCCAGAAGTTCCAACCTAATATCACCACATCAGAGAACAAAAAAACATGTACAGCTGCTCATTACTAGCTGATTATCTTTTTATTGGAATCGCAGTTAACCCTAGCTATGAAAAAGGAAATAAATAATTTCTGGGGTTTTTCTTTCTTCGGTACAATTGCTGGGGTTTGCTCTTCTGTACAAATTCTGGGAATTGCCTCAAACAAATTTTTTTATAAAGCAGTCAACACACATGGAGCTAGCATAATGTATAATTGCAAGTAATTTTTAAAGTAAGACAGATAATAATTTTGTGTTTTACATTGTCTTTTTAAGGAGATAACAAAAATAAAAGGTAATGCAGACATTGCATACAAACATTGTGTTAGAAACCTAGAAAAACAGATAGGGAGATTACATGTCAAAATGGACTAGTCAGTACAGTATTGATAAAAGATTATCCACATTCTATCATTACTTGTTGTAAGGTTGAAATTCTGAAACATGCAACTATGTTGCACAAAAGAATTATAAAGCCAAAGATAAAAAAAATAAAAAATTAAATAAATGTCTGATATAGTCCAGTAATAAAACAGTCACACTCCTGTACAGCATTTTCTGAGATATATTCAAGTAGGAAAGCAGCTGAGACCAACTGAAACAAGCCATAATGTTAAAATATTGAATTGCTCTTGGGCAGAGTAGCAAACATGAGTTATGAATTTGAATTCTATTCCTTTATGCTCACTGCTTGGAGATGTGGAATGAGCCAGAAACAATAAAAAATCTATAAATTTAATAGTGTATTTTCTTCTTTGTGATATAGGATTCTAAAACACTCAGGCAAAAGAAACTGCATTAAGAGAACATCAGTGACTCATATTCAGGGGATGGGCAATACCATATCTGGGATTGCTTCTATAATGCTAATTTAGCTCCTCTGTGTGAGTCTCTTTTCAATGGGGGTCATTTAATGAGAGCATTCTTTTTCATAAAATCCTGTCTGTCTCAGATCTGGGAATAAGTCAACATTTGTCTTGAAGATACTAAATATGAGGCAGCCAATCCCTCATTTGCTGTAGAAGAGGAATTTGACATAGTGAATCATGTAGCACTTGCAGAGCAGTTGCTGGATTTGGGAAATTGAGTATTGCCCAGAAGAATAAATATTGCTCTTTTTCTATGAAATTCCATAGCCATACTGGAATAATTTAAATAATAATTTTTCAAACTTGCAATTAATCCTGTTTTCCTCATTTTCTATAACAAATTTTAAATCCTCCCATTTGATTTGTGGAATTTTAAAATCTCACAGTTGTAATTTAACATTTAGTAGACCGCAGGTCTTAAAGGAATTGCAGCTACCCACAGTTAGTCAGAAATTGAGCTAAAGGATACCAGCTATTCATCCAAACCAAAGTGACTGGGATAATTTGTCCCATTTTCCTTTTTGTAGTATTCTTGGAACTTATTTCCAGGGGATTATAGGCAGTCTGAACTTACTAATGACTATGAAAAATCAGCTCCATGGTACCCCATCTCAGGTATCCAAAGTTAGTGAGCATTTTTGGCCATACATCCATTATTTCCATCTAAAGGCTGAGATGAATGGAAATGGAAATCTGTATACAGTGTCTGAATTGCCATACAAGATATATGTTCACCAATTCCCTGGCTCTTTGCCCTGTTCCTATCCTTTCAGACAAAGAAACATACATACTTGAATGTCTATCAATGGTTCTCCATACAGGTATTTGATGCAAATTGAATATCACAAAACAGATTTCTTGTGCAACCTGCACATCAGCTTAATTTAGTTTCAGCTAGCAAAGATGATACCACTGACACAGCTCAAGAGAGTCAAGAGAAGTCAGTGGTTGTTTGTGAAGTGCTTAAGTGCTGTCACGAGGAACACCACAGAAAAGTCTGTAAGCTATCAACAGTGTCTATCAAGCATTTGAGCAGAGAGAGATGAACAAAATACAAGTTCACTCACATGTTGAAATGGGGAGAAAATAATAGTGAATTATTTGGCACCATCTATTCATTCCAATAAATGAGGTAAGGGTATATAGAAAGAACAGTTTATGATCTGATAATACAAGGCTATTGAAAGGTGCCTTTGTAGAGGGGCTTAAGCTTGCATGGACATTTTTAATTCTGACCTATTCTAAATCTTATCATCTTGTATGTTTATGTGCCATTTCCAAGATTTTTATTAAAATATAAACTATCTAGTTCACATTCCAGAAAGATACACAAATGCAATTTATTCCATATTACATTTCATTGGGACTTTTGAGTTCCCTGATTGGTTGGAACTGCTAAGCCTCTGTATTTGGAGTTTCTATCACTAACAAATACATGCTCCAATTAACCATACATACACTGACATATGGTATCAGTAGGTACCCAACTCATTATGAATTAAATAGATAGTTGACACACTGAGAGGAGATTACATGGAAATAACACACACAATTGAGCAATTTCCCTGATGCTTGCTTTTCTTAATCATCTGATCTAAAACAAGATATTATTGTTACATAAACTTTTTTTCCTTATAATTTCCACTTTTTTATATGTTAAAATATAGATTTAAATAAATTTCTTGAAAGTTCAGTTGAAAATCTGTGGCACTGCCACACCTGCATTTACAAATCACCAATGGATGCTTTGGTCACAGTAAAATCATTTCTTACTTTTACAATTCAGTTCTTAAAATATAACTCCTCTGCAATGTTGATGAGACTCATGATTTTTTTAATTGAAATAGCAAGAGAAATGTTTTTCCAATAGCACTATTAAGTGAAATTAAACACTGATTCCTTTCTTGTGTTCAGCAGGATGCAGCCTCCAGTTCAGCTGTATACACTTCAGTCCTCACTTGTATGAACTTTTCTTCATACAGCATTTTAAAAGGTATAATTTTTTTCTTCAAATTTTCTTTCTGTGTGCATTATCACCTTGAGAAAAGCCACTTGCTTCATGTATTTGTTTTCCTTTGGGGGCTCATTCCAGTGCAAAGTCAAATCCTCTTAAACCTTCGGTTGATTCCTGGTTTTATTGATGGCCATCCTAGACTTTGGGCAGCTATGAAGAATTCTTTATCTATCATCCCAATCTCTAAAATGTTTATACACCAGTGAATTGAGTACTGTAGCAAGATTTTTTTCATTCTACTGTGTTATAATACAATGCCCTGTAAAACAGTTTCTCCAATCCAACATCCATCAAACCAGAGATCACGGTGTAAGAGTGATGTTCAGCTGGGGACATCTACTGGCTGTGTTGTTGATCTTTCACTGCCAGATTTGGAAAATCACTTTGTATTTGTAATTCTATTGTAATTATAAAAATAGCAGCATATATTTTTAATCATGTTGATACATGATGTTTTTATGTACTTTATATTTGCTTTTAAGATTAAATATTCTGTGAACTTTATATGGCCCAATTATCAGAAGAAAAAGGAATTAATTTATCTTGCTTTCATAAACAAAATAATAATGGATAGGAGGAGGCCTAAAAAAGTTCTTACTTCTCAATAACACTAAAAAGAAATCAAGGAATAAAGTAATATTAATGCCAAGATGTAAATGATTTAGTAAAGGAATCTACATGACTTTAGCTTTTATTTTTGTTATGAAAAAGATAAATAATTCTTATTGTCTTACTTGATGCATTGTAAGATTTCACCTTGAATTTGTATGTGTTGTTCTAAAGTAGCTAAGATGCACCATGTCCAGTTTTCTTGGGATTTAAAAAGATCTCAGTCAACTTTATGATATTCTTCAAAGGCTTTTATTAAAAATAAATTAATGCCAAAAAAGGTAGCAGATGAAAAGAAATATAAAGTCTTTAATACCAGAAGCTCTAATCAATGAGCTAAACTGTAAACTAAGAATAATCCAGACAATTTAGTTCAAAGCATGAAAATGTATTTTTATAATGATGCCATTAGGTATTTATTTGATTATTGTATAATACTGATAATTACTTTTGCTGTGATTGAGTCTTATTTCTATTATTGCAAGACTTTACACAACTTTTAACTGTGTTTTCAGGATCAAGAGAGAGCATTTTACAGATTTTGCAAGTTTACAAGAGATCCTTTGCACCTATTAAATTATTATAAGTATACAATTATGTATTTATACAAACAAAAACAAACATATATACATATTAACTTATGCCAATGCCATAGTTTAGTTGATGAGGAGGTGTTAGGTCATAGGTTGGACTTGATGGTCTCAAAGATCTTTTCCAACCTAGTTCATTCTGTGCTTCTGTGATTCTGTGCCTATATATACATATATGTGCATGTTTGCAATCTATGTGTATACATCTATATATGTATATATATGCATGCACACCTATATATCACACCAACATCTAAATTGTACTGTTACAGTCTCAGTTAAACAAAATCCTCTGCTGGCTCTTATTTGTGCTGAGATTAAATATCTGCCATTATTCACATTTGCCCTCAGCAGATCCATCAGCAGGACAGACCTCTAACAGGAGCTGTAAGTGGCAAGTAATTTTATCAAGAAATGCAAAACGCAATTTAAAATGTATAAAAGGCAGATAAACAATAAGACTTCCAAGCATAAACAGGAAACCATAAACATATTGCAGGTTTGGAGACCAGACTATGGGAGCTAGAACTAGGAAGAAAGACATCGCCACCATCATAAATGGAATTGGTAAAAACACCTGTAAGAGAAAGAAAAAAAGTGGTTTAGGAAATAAATGACTCAACTGTGATTTTATGCCTCATTCATAAGAGTAACAATGTGTTCTTTGCCACAGAAAAGTACCATTTCTCATGCTGCTATAAATTCACCCAGGACAAGAGTCATCTGACTCAAATTGCCTATAAGAGAAGCAATTAATATTATTTTCAAAAATACTTGTTTAGGCTCCTTCTGTTGTCAAGGGGCAGAGACAGACAGTACTGGAAATGCATTTGCTCACATCTGATATTGTGGATTCCTATGAGTCACTCAGGGCTGAGTGCCTAGAAGCCTTCACAATAAGCATACATTTCTAATCCAGCTTTATGACTGCTGGAGTAAGAGGAAATTCAACCTATCCTTAAGGCCTGTGATTGTGTCAGGGAAGATGAGAGCAGATTAAAGCTGAATTAACTGTGAATGGCAATGGGTCCTATCTATAGTGTTCTTGTTACTGCTTCACACTGGTATGGCTCCACATTGTTTGCACATATCCCCCATTCTGCAAAGAACCATCTCCTGTTTTCAAGTGCAAGTTCTCTGGGGCAGAGACCAGTTTCTGTTCTTTTTACAGTGAAGCAAAATTTTCAAGACTCTAAGCAGTGTGATTATTATTTGTATTTTTGTGACTATCCACTTTTGATTTGCACTTGTTCTGTAACTTTTCCATGCTACCCGTGACTCAAAAAACAAATCTATAAAAATATTTTGTAACTTAGACCCATTTACTTTGTATGGTCGATGTAGATGAGGTTCCCGGTATCGAAGTACAATCAGGCTTGCACAAGTCAATCCAGTCATAAGCCAGGAAGAAAATCCAAAGTAATTTGTTAACATAATAAGGTCAGAGGGGATGATAAAAATGGATGCAATGATGGTTGAAAAAATCATGGCTGGTGCTGGAGTACAGGAGTGGACATTAAGCATGGATATTAAAAGAGGTAAATGTCCTGACTGGCTTCCAGCATAGCTTAATCGACCAAGTGTGAACATGCTGCTGTTGAGGGCACCAAATATGGAGACAGCAACAGAGAGAGGAATGATCCAGGCAACAGAGGGGATCACTCGATCGGCCCAAGTGACTGCCACAGCAACTGCAAGAAAGCAAAGAATTAGTGTAGTTCAAGTACCATGTTCTGAATAGCTGACAGACACAACAGGAGCAAAACTTAAAATACAAGAAGCACCTATTATTTGCCAGCAATGCCTACTTTTTCATTGCAGTAGTCAAACACTAATCCGGTCCTAAGGGTTTTTCATTCAGGAGCTAAACACTTCCGGGAAGGATGACAGCAAGAAGGAGTGCTGCCTGCCAGAGCAAGCCAGGGAAACCTGCTGGGGCCAATACTCCTGTCATAGACTGCCCAGCAGGAGTGAGCAGCATCTCACATCCTGCATCACAAACACACACACCTGGGAAAGGAAAGAAAATTAACTCCTTGGTCCCTGGCATCACCATGGTGATGACACAATCTGCTGCTACAGGAAACTGCCAACGGGAGCATATTTACTTTCGGAGATGGGACAACAAATGTGCTATTAATGATAATTTGCTTTGGGTGGAAATGGGAAATGTGAAAGTTTGTTTCTAAACAATAGGTATTCAATATTGCTTGGAAATTAGCTATAGCTGTTATTATAGCGAGGACAATATTTAGTGGGTCTATAACCAAATGCCATGAGGAACATAGGTCTTACAGTGTCCTGCGCAGCATAGGAAGTTATTAGAGATGGGGAAAACAGTGCCTCCCACCTCAAAAAACAAAACAAAAAATAAAAAAACAAACAAAAAAAACACATGTAGTGAAGGAACAAGAACAAACAATGTTTGAAAAAGTGCTATAATTTTAAGGTTATCTTCTCAGCTGGCATAGATAAACACAGTTGCCCTAGTATGCATGAAGCTAGTCATGCCAGCTGGCAGCTGTTATTCATGGATACTGCCTTCTTCATTGTAGCATGCAAATGATCCATCTCTCCCAGCAGACAGCATGACACTGGCTGAGCGATAATATGAGGTTACTGAGTGACAGGTACACAGTTCTCATTTATATTAGTGAGCTTTTTTCATAGGAAAAAAAATGATTCATCCAAATGAGGTGTGGCTTTTGTCAGGCCTGTAGGCAAGGTCTCATTACAGTGGGATTTAAAATGTGCTGCTTGGACAATCGAGAAGAAATACAGTTCCCTTTGGAGCTTTTTATGGCCCGCTTATTGGTACAGGTTCTGAGACAGGCATTACTTACACTGGAATTCTGTATAGGCTCTTCTAAGAAATCACAGTATTTATCATGAATAATACACGCCCAAAATGGCTGCATTTTTGTGTCCATAATCTTTTCTATTCTCCTGAACATGATAGATTTGTCCATCTCCTAAAGAATAATAGCTTTAGTCTGAAAGCCATTTAGGGAAAGAAGGAGGAGATAGGATTAAAACTACTGGAAAACAAAGATAATCTCTATACTTGGGGCCTGACTTTCACCTTATTTTCCAGGTTTTAATACACTTCTGAATTCTTTTTTGACAGTGTAGGGAAAAGCCAACAATTTCAACAATCTGCCTGCATTCATCCAACCAGTAAAATTAAAGAATTTTCTGTTAAAAGAAAATAAACACAAATTTCTGGATCATGAAGTTCGGTGAGCAGAAGGCACTGATGTCAGATGGATATGTCAATGGGCCAGTCCTTTTTCATTTAAAAATATTAAATACATACCTGAGGAGACAATTTCCTTAGGTGTGAGGACAGTCAGGTATGAGATGTTCACTAGTAAATAAAAAACAATTACTGCAGGAACAGCTGTCATCACAGTTAATGGGATATTTCTGCTGGGGCTTTTCATCTCCTCTGAAAAATACAATTTAAAACAACAAATGAAGCAAGCAGTGTAGCTTCTGCAAGTGTTTTTCAGTGGTGAAGCTGTTCAGAATTTGATAAGACTGATACCAAAGTCCTGCCCCAATCCCTAATCATGGCTGCTAAATTCTCTGCTTCTGAAGTCCTACAGTGGCTCTCAAACAGGTTAATATCAAAGATTCCTAAACAATTTCTTTTTATTTAGCTATTTTTTAACTATTTTGGAAGGAGGGCTGTTTGAAGAGCTGATTGATTATAAAAATTACAACAGGAGTGAAAATTTTTCCTTGGAATTGATTAATTATATACCTGACTTACATTAGAAAAGTGATTAGGTAGGAAATTTTCAAGTAGCCTTACTTGACAATCACAAGCTTAAACATGAAACTCTGAAGTCACATTATTTATTCTTACATCACCTCACAAATCCTGATCTGAAACTTACTGAGCCTATTTGCCTGTTACTACTCAAAACATTTCTCTTTGCTCTTATATCAAGAAATATAGAAGTAACATAAAAGACTGAAAGCACAGACATAAGAGAAATAATGCAGTGGCTTTAAAAGCGGTCCATTCCTAGATGGATTCTGATGATTATTATCCTTTCCAGGATAAAGATGGTGGAGAAAAACAGTTTAGTGCTAAGCCTGATAGCTTAGAACTACTCTTACCAAACGAAATACAAAAAAAAACCCCAAAATTTCGCGGATGAATAACTCGGGCACTAGCACACATTCCTGGGAATGTCATAGTCCCAGCAAAAGATGGAGCTGATTTCCAGAAGCTTAAACCAAATCACCCCCATCTCAATCAAAAAGGCTCTTTTCCATCTTTTTCACTCCTTCCTCTTGTTCCCTCTCAACTTCCCACTTCCCTCAGCATTTACAATTTCCTGAGTTTTACCAGCAAATAACTGATAATGGGGAAGAAGTGAAAAGTCAAACGTGGAGCTTATTTAAATTCTTTTTAGGAGACAGAAATCTGTTTCCTTCACATTTGACTTCTATCTTCTGCTCAGGACACCAGCCTTGAGCCATGATCCCTGTGCTGGCTGTAGTGCACAGAGACAAGACTGAAGGACCACAAGAGTGGAATTCAGATACTATCAGAGAATTTGGGATTTATTTCAGATGTAAGAAATACACTTAGTAATTCTGAGCTCAGAAAAGGCTAATCACCAAAATTGCCAATTTAAATTTATCTTTCCATTCGTTTTGTTGCCTGTTGCAGTCTTGCCAGCCAGCTGGCACCTGGTCCATCAGCTGAAGCTCACAGAAATGAAGTTATTGTTGAAGAATAGGAAACTCAGTTTGGTTCAGAATTATTGCATAGGTTGCATCTGTCTAAACAGCAGTGCTGCCCAAAAGTGTATGGCCTTTATCAGTACTCCTAACTGACCAGAATAAATCAGTATTTTACCATAAATCTTGTATTTTCTCAGGCTTACAAAACCAAGTGCTTGCCCTTAAGGAATCCCTAAGGTTTCAAAACCATACTTTCCTGATTTATATGATTTTTTTTGTTTGTTTAAATTTCAGCCTATTTTTAAAGCTGGAGGACCTGGATTATAAAGACAACAGACAGGTTTTTAAACATTAACCAAATTTTCACATTATCCTCACCACTGAACTTTGTGGTATGTATTTAACACATTCAGTTTATTTAATATTTTACATGATAGAGGTTAATGGATACAAACGGTTAAAGATATGACAGCAATATCCACTTGCTTACAATGTAATTCCATGAATCTGATGATACTATAAACCTATATTGATTTAACTTATGATGTGAATAATTATCATTATGAACATCATCTCTGTAACTTTCAAGAAAAAATTCTCATCTATTACTGCCACACATCAGCAGATACAGAATAGGGAAGTAAATAGATATTAAAAAACCTTTTGAATGATAAAATTGAGTACAAGTTCTATGAAAAAATGTATACCACCTTCCACAGACCTCTCTTTACCTTCAATTAGTCTTTAAAAGTCTATTTTCACAGGAAAATATATCCCATAAAATTCCTACATTCTAACAAAACTCAAAAATAATTTGTCCATGTTCAGACTAGCTGCATAACCTCAGAAAAGGCATAGATATTTAAATAGAAATTATCTATGGACACAT